TTGAAATGGTTGTTTTACGGTTTACTCTAATATAGTTACACAGATGTTCAAACATAGGGCCGCAAGGTATTTGCAATACATTTTTAATGTTTATTTTGCTCTTTTTTCAGTGAACCAATTATAGCAAAGATGTGAGACCTGGTAGACTAAAGGTGAACATGCCAATTATTGTATGATTAAACCATGAAAGGCATTGTAAAATTCATCCTTATGTTACCACAAATACTGTAGTAGGTAAGAAACGTATGCTGCTGCTAGAAGCCTTAGTTCAGCCTTTTTTAACCCCCCAATTGCTGACTCATGCTGTAATCCTTATCAGTACTAGTGAGTGAATCTGTCCCCAGTATATGTAGGTGGGGGTTAAGGAATCTATTGGGACTTGTCAGGATTTAGGCTATGTCAGGAGGCCACATTTTTATCAAAATCTGGAACCTCCTGTTTGAAAATATTTGAAAATAGCTCATGGAAATTTTTTTTTAGAAAAAACATTTCCTTTTATAAATCTTAATTTGAAGTTCCAATAATTATATTTCCCTTTGGAATGTGTATTTCTACATTGAAAGCAATTAAAAAAGTTGATTGAAATTCTACAGAAAAACTGGTGAAAGAAGAATAGAGGCTAAGGCTATGCCAGCGTCCTTCTATCGAGAGATTGAAAAATAGCAGCAGCCAAGATTGCAGCCACTACTCAATACAATAGGCAAGTTATTGTATGTTTATTTATGAATACATACCCATTCAGTGGCAATGTGATGAGAAATTGGGTATTTGCAGAAACCATATAGATTACATATAGGTGACTTGTAGTCGGTAAGTTATGGAGACCTCGACCTCAGTAAGTAACAATGACAGCTCAACTTTGTTTCTTTATGGAACATCACATATACAGGCAATAGAGAGGAGATGAGTGGATTGTTAACACCTTTATGGATTTCAGTACACAGGGTTGTGTTGGTTGTACCTAACATGGAGACAATAGACTTTTTCAAAATTAGTTTCTTCTCAAATTAAGGTTTATGCTTCTGCTTGCTGCAATGTACTGAAAAATGGGTACTGTGTGATGAAATAATGACAATGTTATGTGTTGTTTTATATTTAAAAGATATCTCAATTATATATGATTCAAGATGTATTATTGTAGTTTTACTAATTGCAAGATAATGTACATGCACACCGGAGATGCGCATTAATGATGCATTGTTGATGCCCTACTAGCAGTGTGACTTAAGACTTTGTTGCAAAGTGCTTCATATATTTACTACCAAAAGACTGGATAAGTGACACTTCACAGACCAGTAAGAACCTTGTCCCCTTGTATTGCTCCATTTCAATGTAAGGCCAATAAACAATGCTTCCAAGTCAACAGTGGGGTTTGTGTTGTCAATCAAGGTTAGATATCAAGCTAGAACATTGCAAAATACAAACTCATTCCCACCTGTCGATCGTTGATCAAGATATTTAACTCTGTATGGTACTCAGCTGACCAAGATTTAGTGGCAGTCCCAGCATGGAGGCGCAAACTCCAAGATGGCAATTGAGTAAGACGAGAAACGTCTGTTTGAGGGCGGTGATTAGTACATTGTACTTCACTATTTTTGTGCCTCTTTTGTTTTCTAACAAACTTTAGTAGAAATATACAGTGACATGATGCCTAAAGACAGGCATATACGGGGACACACACCTTCATCTTGGAACTTTTTGCATAGTAATGATTAAACACAACACTATGCAGAAGTTCTAGGGAGTAACCTCTAGCACAGAAAATCCAGGGGATGAAACACCCCTGCCAAAAAAGTCCTAGCAAGAAAACCCTAAT